GATGAAGACGATTCTTCCATGTCTCGGAGAAGCGGTGGTCGTGGACTTAGGTCTGTTGTATCAGTCTGATGAAATTATTGCAGACGTAGCTTATCGGAAAATAGAATTGGTACGGTGGCTTCTATGTAGAAGCCATCGATTTTTAAAGCAATTTAATCAGTGAAGGGGAAGATAATAAGATAGGGTCATTTTTTCTTCGTATTTTTCGAGTGTTAAAGGCGAGAAAATATACGTTCCGAACCAATACTTAGAAAGTCGACCACGACGTTGCCAGCTTTTTTTTCGTCACGCCCCCAAAATTTGCTCTGTTTACGGTAATTTTAGAAGAGTAGATACGCGCGCTTCTTTTCTCGCGGCACGGTATCCTCGATACCGTTCGTTCAGCGTACTTTCTGGTCGTAAAACTTTTACCGTCTCATCCGTATACTTGCAACGTTAAAGCTGCAGTATACCCCTTCGAGCGCGCAATTAGAGCAATCGTAAATTTTAATGTTTGCCATTCGAAATTAATAGGAACGAATAGAACGAGGAAAGGCGTCGACTACAGCGAGGTGAGTCGGTTCCGCGAAACGAACGCCTTTCCGAAACGAGAATTGGGGAGAGGTGGAGAAAACCGAGCACGATTTTGGTTCGTTCGAAAGGGACCCCTTAAAAATCGATATTTCGAAAACATGTCGTTGTTATTCTTTTCGAACATACGAGGAACGAGCGTCTCCAAAGTTGTCTCTTCGGATGGGGTTTCTGCGTTCAATTTTGCGTTGAGGCCCGCAGAGCTGAAACGCATCGGTCGAGAGGGGTCCTATAGGAGGTGACCAAAGCGAAGATCGAAGAAGACAAAAGGACTGTCGAGGTCTCGTTCGATCGCTCGCGCGCGGCCGCGCGACTTCGCGATAACGTTACGCGGCGGTTATTGGAAATAGTCAGGTCGATCTACCCCACCGTGAAATACACACAGCTCGGCGAGCCTACGTCATACCTTGGCGTATGTACATTATTCATAGCCATCGGTGAAAAGGGCGCCAGCCGTATTACGTATGCCACAGGTTATTATGCCCTCTAAATGTTTAATGTGTTTGCCTTCCTTCTCCGGCCACCGACGTGGCTTTATGTTTTACTAACTAAATTACTATGTTTTTTCCTATTAGTTCTTCAGCGCTCAATGTTGGCTCCATCGATTCGTCGCTCTCGTTTCTCTTCTTGCCCCTCTTTTGTTTGCGTTTCTCTTCTTTCGGTACCCCGTCGGTCCGTGGACGTCGTCGACGATGCCCCTCGACCGCCTAGGCATCTCCGAGTATCGTATATTTTTCTACGTCGATCCTCGATCGCACGCTATTCTATTTTACGTATCGTTCGATCCCTAATTAAAAAGAATCGAATTCTATTCGTACCGCTCACTCCCGTCGGGTTCGAATCACTCCCTCGGGGATGTTTCTCGACTCCTAGGGGTTCTCGAGCACCGCGAGAAGACGACGAGGAGCGATTTAGAAAAATAAATCGTTCGTTACGCGCGCCTGGCAAGATGCTCGGTTGTTTACAAAATTAATATCCGCCGGGCGTTCCTTGAGGATGCGGAGGATGCGGAGAGAGGACGAACGGGGTCGTTAAAACCGCGGATCCGCTAAAACGCGCAACACCGAAACGCGAAACCCGGCGGAAAGTTTGGAATTTACTGCCCGACATATTGGCTGCGAAAGCACACGAAATTAAGGCTAGTAAAACACTTTCCTGACACCTCGTGCGTCCCCCGCCCTTCCTGCACACCTACTACCCCCTTTGCCCCTGCCGCTGCCCTTCTGTCTCGCGAACGTAACGTTCGACGAAACGGATGCCCTCTCCCACCACATCGATAACTTCTCTTTTTTATATTTATCAGCCTTCGCGGAACGTATGGTCCGAAACAACGCCACCGAAAACTACAAGCTCACTTTCTTCCGTTAAACTACTGTCTACGAACCGTATACCATATTTATAGAATAGGTATTTCACGGCGAAGACATTTTACTCGAATCACCAACGCACGACGTAGGTCTCAGATGAGACTCGATGATAACTTGATAAGCCTTCGAATGAATACGTTACATCGATAGCGAAAAAATATTGTTCATCGCAGCGCTACGGTACGAAAATGTCAAATAAGTAAAAAATGAATAAATCATTGTACGCGATTTCGACGGCAAATGAATTCGTTTCAACGCACGTGTGTACGATTGGTTTTAAAAAGTTACCCAGTATGCAATTTAACAATGCCGACTTTAGAGCGTGAATCATCGAGATATTTCAAGCGATTCCTCCTTAGGAATCGATCGGTGTGCTGCGGTGCAAACGAAGGAAAAAATATATATTCAACAGTGGAGAAAGTAGCGTTAATTCTTAATCTTCGGAATTTCCGACCTTTATCGAATTAATCATGACCCAGGTAATCGAATATCGACGAAAGTATGATAACAATGGGCGGATTTCGATTTACGAAAGAAATTACACACGTTTGATTAAAGATAACGACGTTTCACGCGAAATGGTTTAACAGCTCTGTTAGAATTTTTCCTGGCTCTTTGTCGCGGCCCCGCGGTTCTTTCTGTGAATGTAAACGTTTCTAGAAACGGGATTGGATTTAGAATGCGTCGTTACGAACCTAACGCCCCTTTATTCGTATTTCTGTCGCACTGTTATAGGCAACAGGCAATTTCGATAACTGCGCCTTTTACATCGAGGCTCTACTAAATCCGTCGGAGCCTCGAAAATAATGCCGTTAAAAATTTCACCCGTAACAATGTTTGAGTTTTTAAGCCTAAATTCTCAACGTTAGATCACCCGCCGTTAATTCGAGCAACGCGAGCTCGTTTATTCGGATTTTTATTTTCGCATTCCGAATATGCCGATCGAACTTTCCCATTTTTTCCCATTTACGAAATGATCAAATTTGCGATTCCCGGGTCCCGTTAAAAAATGCACGCGAATCGTATAGCTTCGAACGTACGGACACGGAGCAGTTCTCGCCATCTAGCGGAGAAAGTTAAGTTCAAACTTTAGGTTAGAGTCGATAATACAGATAACCGATATACCGTTAGATGTATCGGTCAAGCATTGTCGCTTATTTATCAGTAAACAGGTACATTTGAAAATAAAGTAGACGAAAGACAGGAAGGAAAAAATATGGATACAAGAACGTAAAATCAAGAAACTTACCAAAATGACGAATGAAAAATAAACGGGGGGTAACGGGAGTAACTGCAACAAACGAAAAAGTGTACTTCAAATACAGAGTAAACGATACACAATGAGAGTTATTCAATAAACACAAAACGTCAACTTTCTGTGTATCATAGTTTTTATTGCCAGTAAATTCATCGTTCTATCGTTGAAAAGGAAAATCATTTCCAACGATAAGCGTACGTGATTTAATTTACAATCTTGCCACGTAAATAAATAAAATACATAGTCTACGCAACGCCAACATGTTTTCGCGTTTGGCGCGTTAACGAGATGGAGCGCTGAACGCAACTATTTTGACTTTTTTACTCGACAAATAAAAGTTACAAACACAACAAACATCGTTGTTTTCACACATCTACGTGTAGAGTCGGGTAAGCGAAAACACCGAACGAGTCAGCGACTGTTGGTAAGTTATTATCCGTCGCGAAGAAATTTGGTGCGAATTAGTTACCGGAAAACTTGGAAAGATCAAGTTTATATACACAACTCGCGCTACACAACCACTTGTGGAGCGTAGGCAACAGAAATACTCGTACCAACGTCGGTGAACACGTTATTTTTCGCGAGAAAAGCGGCGAAGGGAAACTTTGAACGCGAGTATAGCGTCGTCGCGAAACGGCACGCCAAATTTAGAGAAACAGAAACCGAACGATTGAAAACGGTCGCAAGTTTTCGTCGAAATTTCGACACAAGTCCGTGTGTGTCAACGCCATGTCAAATTTTGACCAGCATTGCTCGGGAAAAGTAAAAAGAAGACGACGATCTTACCGAAACTGAACAAAGAGGGGGATTACGAACTCCTTGTAACAATCACCAATAAAAATTTCACAAGGAAAACAACACAAAATTCACAAATTACTCCGAACCTAGCGGCGAGATGTTTCGGGTAGACAACTGCATGTATACATAGCCAATAGTGCTGCCGCGTCTCGCGATGGCAACAACGCGAAACAGAATCGAACCCGCGCAATTTCGAAATCGTTTTTCTGGATATTTCCATCGAACCGATAACACACACGACATAACATAAATGAAATGAAATTCCACAAAGAAGGCTATTAATATTGAAGAAAAATTATAACTAAAAGTAGAATTGCATTTAAAATTAGTCCACTCTACCAGTGGGTAATTTATTCTGTCCCTAATACTGATGGCAACACCATGAAAGAGAAAGGGGATATTGCCAGAAGTTTTGAAGGGAAAACCGTAGAGAGGAACGGGGAAATTGACATAGTAAAAGTATGAGACGTATTCGATGGGAAGCAAGAACCACGAAATAAACGAAACGGGCAGAAGTCGATATGTATATCGAACGACGGAACAGGAACAAGGGTGGACCAAGTGGAAGGGATGGTACCGACGGCGGCGAGGAAACCAGGGGGTCAAAACTCACGTATTAAAAGTTGGTACAATGTTTGTAGCGCCCCGTGGGAAAAATTCACCCAACTAAAATGTGGAGCGAAGCGCGTGTATGCATATATATACGGTAGCGGGTTTTTTTTAAATGCTTTAAATTATTTAAAAGAAAGTAAACCAAAGGATTTTCAAAGGATTTTCGTTGTTTCAAAAAATATAATTTTTGAAATGACGGAAATTCTTCAAACTGCGTCTGCACTTTCTCTAGTTTACTTTCTTTTAAATAATTTAACAATATGTATGCATTTACGCGCATTCGCTCCACATTTTAATTGGGTAAATTTTTCCCACGCGGCGCTACAACGTGAGTTTGGACCCCCTGGAGGAAACAGTGGCGCCTTTAAAGATGGCTTCCGTGCATAGCAGCGCTGTGTCGTGTCCAAGCCGAAAAATGATCGAAAACCCTTACGAAGCGGCCAGTGTCGGATAAATCGTGAGATATACACGGTGTTATCGAGAAAACTGCTCGACGCGGTGTGTTCTCGCGAGTCGCTAAAAGAATGTTTGTGGTTGCCGAATATTCGGCCGATTGAGCACGAGAAGGGATCTCGGCGTGATGAAGAGAGAGCAGACGAATCTAGCGGTGTTCGTCATTCTACTCGGTCTCGAGTGACAGTTGCTTACGTAACGGATTATTCTCGCTATGATAACGATATTCCAGCCGCGGACGCGAAACAAGAAACTATTTTACCGGGTTATACGCGGCGCTGGCCAACAATCCGCTAGAAATAAGCATCGCGACTGACCTGAATTTTCCACTGTCTCTTGTCGCGATATCGCGTACCACGCCACTCTTCGACGTTGGGCTCTCTGTTATCTTTGTCTCGAACTCGCCGGAAAACCATATCGTAGCTTTTCTCGGTCAAATGAAATTATGACAGCGGTGCTCGTCATGGAAAACGTGAATTGGGATCCTGGTGAGTAACACTGATCTTCCTAAGATGCACTGCTTACGCTTTTTTCTTCTAAGGCGTCACTTCGTTTCGTCGATTATTCTTTAACTGCCGGTACGAGCCATTGAGGATGTTTGATTCTGGAATCGATATCGAATCGAAGTGACGTAAATAGATTCGATTTTTTACTCGCTAACCACATTTCGCATACGCAGTCAGCCCCATAGTATTCCTACCCTCTATGTTTCTTAATTTAAATTTATTTAAAAATTAACCAAAATTACGCCGTAAATTCACATATTAAACATTCTCTTGAAACGGAAATTGACAGGTCGATTCGATAACCAAATATCGATTGTGTAGAGAAACAATTTAAAATCGAACATACCCCCGACGCTTTCAAACGTCACGAATTTAAAAATACTGCATCCTCGTGTGTCCAAGGTGTGGATTATTTACCGGTTCGACGTTTAACTCGATGAAAAAACTTTGGAAAATTAAACGTACCGTACTCGCCAGGTGTGTCGCGTCTATTTTCATCGGGTCTAAGTTCCAAGAAAACTGTACGCAAATGTTGAAACACGAAATTGTAACAAAGTAACGAAGCTGCCTACTCGAGCGCGCGTACATTTGTACTATTTTTAAATAACATTAAAACATTATTGAGCAAACGTAGCTTCACTATCAAACGAAAACGAAATTTCGCTCGAGTGGTTCGCAGTAGTCGCCGGAAATTAATTTATCGATCAGAAGGTAAATGTGTCGTGAACTGGATGTTTCCGAACCGTGTTCCGTGCCCAAGTAACGATAGGATTCTCCTGCGGTACAATTCTGATAATACAGGGTGTCCCAAAAATGTTGTAACACCTTGAAAGGGGTGGTTCGGGAGGTGATTTGGAACAACTTTTTCCTTAGCGAAAATGTTGTCCGAGGCTTCATAGAGGAGATATTAACGGAAAACGTCGACCAATCAGAACGCGTGGATACCGGTGAAGTGGCCGCGGTAACAAAGGCTACGAGCTAAGCGGCCGCGCTTGTACGCGAATAAATGACTCAACGTGCATCGAAGGCCATTGACGCAGCCGCTTAGCTCGTAGCCTTCGCTACCCCGGCCGCTCCAACGGTATCCGCGCGCTCTGATTGGTCAGTGTTTTCCGTTAATATCTCCTCAACGAAGCCTCGGACAACATTTTCGCTAAGGAAAAAGTTGTTTCAAATCACCTCCCCAACCACTCCATTCAAGGTGTTACAACATTTTTGGGACACCCTGTATACAGGGTGGTCAGTGGAGTGACTATTTTTGTTTAAATCGTCATTTTAATTGTATTTTTCGCAAGAATTGATTCCATACGTTTCACTTTATTTTTACTTACGATGCATAGAGCAATACATATTCAATTGTTATCTCCTCTTTTGTTGCCTCTTAGGTCACCGACGACAATCGTCCTCTCTGTTGTAATACTTACTAGCATGAATATTGATTAGATCGATGCCCATAAAACTCACCCTACTTAAATATGCTGTTGCTCCTTTATCGAATGTGCAGCGTTATGCGCCAGACAACTTATTAAAACTTTCGTTTAAAGCTCTACGAACTGTCGTAATTTTCCGATCTTGTTTCATTGCCTTTTTCAGCGTTGTCGAAGCTCCTGAATTCTCTGCAGGAGAACAAGAACGAGATACCGAGCTGTACCGAAGAGGAATTTGGATTCCTCAGCGATTTGCTGCAGTCGAAGGAGTTGAACGCTTTGGTGAACGTTCACAATAAAATTGTGAATAATGTCAAGGACGACAAATTCTTCCCGGTGCTCTCGAATTCTATGGACATTGACATCGAGGTTTTAGACATGCTGTCTACCAAAACGCATTTGTCGAAGGAGTGCAAGGAACTCTTTCATCTCCTCCAAAAACCCCACATACAGGTACCGTGATGAGATACGTATAGCAATTACAATTACTTTCGGAAAATAAAGTTGCGATCGCTCGAAAGAATTGATACGCAAATGGAAGATTTTTTAAATATATCGTTGTTCTGTCGTGTTAACAAGGAAGAAAGAGTTCCTTCTGTAGACGATTAGGACATTGAAAACTTTGTCGCAGGGTTTACTGTGTGCCCACGATTCGGTCGCCCAGAAAGACTACTATCCCCGACTGCCGGAAATTCCTCTGGAAGTCGACGAGGACGAGGAGACCGTGAAGATCGTGCAGCTGGTCAAGTCGAACGAGCCCTTGGTACGTCAGATAGGCCGCACGTTCGGTACTTAGAGTGTCTTTGAGGTTTTCACGTAATTAACACGGTAAAGAGACGACGTAGTAAAAATTGATCGCTCGCGATCGTCGGAGTAACAAGGATAGAGAAATAACTAGCGATAGCGTAACCGTTTTAGCGTAATTACGTCGATTTGCATGGGATTTGATCCTGATTAATCCTTTGTACCGACCTAGACGCGCCGTGTTTCCCGTAATGAGTATAGTAGTATCGAATACATATCCTCGAGCATCGCGCGAGCGATGCTCAGACCACTTCTCAAGTAATCACGTGTCTTTTTTATCGTCAAACTTGCTTCGAAGTGTGGCACTGGCATTGAACCGATCGTGGTAAGTCGCCTTCAAGCCAAAACATGTACAGGCCTGTAAACGTTTCATGCGTATCATCGATTCGCAGTACGATTTTTTAGCGTTTCGTTTTTCTTTCGTTTATTTGTTATCCTTGTTTGTTTATATTTTCTTTTGTTGAGTTCATTAGGAATTTATTTATTAGTTCAATTTGTTTATTAGTCATTAGAATACTTTTTGATTTTCCACTTTGCGATCTCACCTCTATACCGGAATGAAAATAAAGCGTGGACGTAAGCGAGCTGTAAATAGAACGCTGTTTGTTTTCCTTTACACTAATTCGTTAATTTCGCTTACATCTTACTTTACACACCTTGCGCCCATTCCGTTCCTCCGTTGGTTTGTGTTTTTCTGTTTGTGATTTTTGCTTGTAAATAAAACGATTTCTCTATCGTAACAATTGTATCCTATGTTATTGTCCCGCATGTCCTCGTGTCAATGTTGCAAATCTCTCGAAATAACGCAACGGTGAAAATTCATGCGTAATCTTTACTACGTGAGATATTATAAATGCCGCGGTGCTGTTGGTTTAATTCGAGAAATTTCAAGCGAAAGAGTGTTTTGCACCCGACACTTTAAACTCGGTCTTTAAACATCGACCGGTATCTGTACGATCGATGAATATGGTTGCGCGACAAGTACGATCGAGCGCGTGCGTTTACGCCTTCGCCGATGAATTCTCTTTCTTTTCATTTATTTTTTAAGAGAAACTAAGGCGGTCCGTATAGACGCGCACCTTGCAACCGCAATGAAAATATTAGTTTACACGTTGACAATAGGGGGCGACGATAAAAACGTGCGAGCTCACCGGCAAGATCATGATTGCGCGAATAATGCACGGCGGCGCGGCCGATAGATCCGGCCTCATTCACGTCGGTGACGAAGTCTGCGAGGTCAACGGCATCAGCGTCGAAGGAAAAACTCCGGACTGCGTTCTTAAAATACTGGTAGGTCACTGCTTTTGTTTTCGCTTGAAAGCCCAATTTCGTAAATCGATCTCGATCTAAAACCGTTTCGAAGCGCTTTTCACTTTGCACTAAAACGTTTTAGTCTCTGATCCCGATCGAGATTTACGTCGTAGAAGAGAGTGCTTCGTTTACAAACTCTCCGTACCTTATAAATGCGGATAAAAATTATCGAACGAAAACGCTTACTTGCATTTCAAAGGTTGAAAAACAAAACTGTTAAAACGAGTATTTAATGTTCAGAGATACAGCACTCCCCTTTACGTCGCAATTATCTACATGTAAACGAGAATGATCATGGACATAAAGGCGCGTCTATTTCAGCAAAATTCCGAGGGTACGATCACGTTTAAAATAGTCCCTGCGGACAGTAAGGGCGGTATTCGGGAGAGCAAGGTATGTTCCGAATCTCTGAACCAATTGTAAGTAACGAGACTCGTCCAAAAGGAAATGTTTTTGATTCTCGATCCTACATTTTAAGAGGGAAATTGAAGGAAAATGTTGGGTCGTTTGACATCGTCGGGGTAGCGCGACTGTAAACGCGTCTGTAAATCTAGCTTCAAAAACCTCTCCAGTTTGACGAGGATAGTGCACGAGTCCTCGAAGAATGGTTTTAAAGAAAACTCTTGTTGCGCGATAGGTGCGAGTGAGATCGCACTTTTCGTACAAGGCCGCCGACGATCCTTACACGCCTTGCAAAGAAGCTGGACTAGACTTTGTCAAAGGTGACGTCCTCCACATCGTCAGCCAGGATGACGCTTATTGGTACGACTCCAATATCTAGATTCGTTGTTTTACGTAGGCAGTATTACGTTCCAATTACCTTCGTTTCGAAATAGGTGGCAGGCTAGGCGCGAAGGGGATCGAAATACGAGAGCTGGCTTGATCCCCAGTAGAGCTCTTCAGGAAAGACGAATTATTCTCGAGAGACAACAGAAGGAAAAGACCGATGACGACGATATAAGTAAGTCGCGCAACTCGCGGTAGGATGAAATAAAGTACAGTGGTTGCGCCGGCGTTTCCTAAACGCGTTTGTCCTTTGGTAAAGGCGAAAGATCTTGGTTGCTCGCGCTCGCTGGGGGAGTAACCCCTTAATGTCGTTTGCGGTTCCACGTAGCGTACTTCGTACTCAGCCAAAATCTTGTGCCGTTACGACCATTAAAACAGAAACTCTTTTCCCGTTTGGGAAACTCTGGCACGCAACTCTACGGTTGTCTTTACGTTGATTCATAATGTCAATTTGTAGTTTTAGCGTGATTTACAAGTCTAACGGCATGCATATTATGCGCTTTGAGCGAAACTAACGACGTATAACGTTCACGCTAACGATAAAAGAGAGGACTAGAACGACAACTCTCGGGTTCGAGGTTTCGATGAGCTCGATGAGATTACGCGACGATTTCCGTGAGCTGGTCACGGCTGCTCTTCTTAACGTATGATGGCCTGACGACCTAACCGTCGGTTAGGCTTGTGTTCTGTTCCAGTGCCTTTGCCTTCATTGTGCCCCCGTCCCAGTACCTCTTTGCACGCCTCGCCTACAAAGTGCAACTTGCAGGGAGTAAAAACTAAAAAAATCATGTATGACGCTGCAGAGAACGACGATTTCGACCGGGAAGAAATACCGACCTACGAAGAGGTCGCGAAGCTCTACCCGAGGCCGGGTCTATATCGACCCGTGGTTCTGATCGGGCCACCGGGAGTTGGCAGGAACGAGCTCAAGAGACGGCTCATGGCCACCGATCCCGACAAGTACAAGACGCCCGTGCCTTGTAAGTTTTTATCCCCGTTCGCGTTTCGACCATTATTCTCTACGATGCTTGTCTTCAGATACCTCGAGGCCACCGAGACCGGGCGAAGTCAACGGCAAAGAGTATCATTTCGTGAGCCGTGAAAAGATGGAGGAGGAAATCATCGCGGGAAAGTTTATAGAGTACGGGGAATACAAGGGTAACTTGTACGGTACCAGTTCCGAGAGCGTCAGCTCGTTGATAAACGCTGGATACGTGTGCCTGTTGAACCCGCACTATCAAGCCCTTAAGATGCTTCGAACACCGCAGACGAAACCATACGTAATATACATCAAACCACCGAGATTCGAAATATTGAAGGAAACAAGGAGCGATGCCAGGGCAAGGTCGACCTTCGACGAAAGCAATTCGCGTGGTTTCACGGTAATCGTTCATTTCTACCTGGAAACGAACGATTGTTCGATGAAAAAGTCAATCGCGTTACGTTATTCCGTTGTTCGTTTCTAGGACGAGGAGTTTCACGAAATCCTGCACAGCGCAGCCAGGATAGAATTTCTCTACTCTCATCTGTTCGACGAAGTGATAGTAAACGCTGACCTCCCCATGGCATTCGAGCAACTTGTCAACGCGGTTCATCGAGTGGAGTCGGAACCGCTCTGGGTACCTGCATCGTGGGTTCAATAAATTTTGCTTGGATTAAGGTCACGAAGAAGCAAGAATCGAACGTGTTTGGAAACGTTGCGCGTTCTTACGACACTTTACGATCGACGATGCTTTCCTTCAAATTTTTTAGTAAAACGCATTCGTATTTTCTCGTCTACTCTTCTATGCATTTCGAGTTGACTACTACTCCCAAACAATACCCACGCCTTTCTATCTGTAGACATGCGTAAGTGTGTTTTGGTACCTTGAGAATTTTTCTATGTTAGATATAAATCGTTCTCCGCTGGTTTGGTTGTCGGCATAACGGCAACGCTTGGACGAGAGAGGTAGAAAGAAAAGGTTGTCGAATACTCTTTCGAGCTGCCTCGTTTTCCAGCGATTAAATTAATCGTTTCGCCTTTGTTCCTGAATCAACTCTGTGTTTAATGCGTGATCTTAGAATCCTTACTGCCACCAACGTTGCAATCGACAGAAGCTTCTCGTGACGTCCGACGATGGCGACGACGAAGCAGTTGCAATGACTCCGATCTTGTTGCGTATTGTCGCACGAGCGAGGAGTATTCGTGAGTGGCGATGTTTAAAGATATATTAGGAAGGACACGTGAACCGTGTCAAACTTCTTACGTAATTTTGGGATCAACGATTACAAATGGTATCGCCTCGTCTAAGAAAGAATCGAGTGCAATCTGGAGATTTCTGGGCATTGTAATCGACGAGTACGGATATGCTGCTACCACGGATGACCTTTGATCCCAATTGTTGTTGATTGTTGCCAAATATAAGTATCGTACCTAGATCCACAGTGGGACGTGTCTCACGATTATTGTATTTTCCACTCGATCAGCATTGCCACGATATCGCTATTTTTTTCATAATTAAACGGCTGCCAGCGCGAGGAAAATTTATGCGCGCTATCGCGTCGGCGTTGCATTAAATAGTTCATCCTCGATGTAAACTCTGTATGTTACCGAAATATAGCATTACACTTTGAAAATACGTCTTACCGTTCCTCTGTTCCCATTTCTAATCAAAAAAACTACGTTCGTGCGTAGAGAATCCGCGGGATTCTTGCGAGACATCCGGAAACGAAGGAATAATTCGTAAGCCTTTTATCGCGCAGAGGAAATTAACTTATTTCCTGCGGGAAGTAATCTTCTAAGAGGTTCGCGTGGACGTGACGTTAGTAAATTCTGTGCGTCTTTTTCTGAAATGGATAGTGTTTTTGTTTGTTTGTTTGTTTGTTTTTTTTTTTTAAATACAGATCATTTCTTCAAAGCTAGAGACTCTCGTTAGCCATGCACTCGGTGAATTGCATGCCGATATAATCGTTCTTCTTTCAAAGTTGTTGCGCTGTCACGATAAGGCACAAAATCGAACCTTTAAACGCTCATGGTCTACCGTTAACGCCGTCAACATTGATTTTTAAACACGAGCGTTGATACGCAAACTTTCGCGCCTCTTCGCTCCGACATTCGAGATATCTTTAGTACGTTATTAAAAATGTACGCTATCGACCGTTTCTGTCGACAAATAAATCATCTTGTCGAAGATGTAACGTTTCTTAAAGGTGCCTGCAGTATCTTGATTAAATTTTTGTTTAATACTTCCAACTGGTTTTTCAGTTAAACACTGATCATTCAAATCATGTTTATGCGACGCGTATTACTCTTAACAAACGACTAGGAAGCTGGTAATACGGAGCATTCGAAATACTATTTTTAGTAGGCTCGGATTTTCTAATTGATCTTGAATCATCGAAGCTACCAAGCACGTGCGTACATCGCATCGGGTGGCCGCGTGTTACCGCACGAAAATAGATCGGATTGATATCGGAAGAGTTACACCTGAAGCACGCTCAGCGATTCGATTCAACCTTTCTTCGATGCTTCGATGGCGAATAAATATCCAAGCTGTCTTTAATGCGAATATACGAGTTATTTCGCAAACGAACTTGTCGGTGTTCGAAAAGAAAATCACTTTTGTTTTCCATTGACCAGGTATCGAGGAGTAACACCTGGCTCGAGTGCGCGGCTGCGCGAACAGAAGAGCGTGCGATACGACCCTCGTGATACTTTCAGAGCGAGGGTGCGAATTAAACTTCGGCCCAGTATTCAATCAACCCCTACACGAGGAGACCAGTTTGAACGGGTGCTCGATGGAATTATCGACGCTTTGGATTTTCGTCGCCGATACATTTCCTATACGTGGCTGGAAATTTCAAACGCGTTACCGGTTTGTATCCAGTGAATGTTTTCTTTAACAGTGTGCGTGTCTGTGTCCTCGCAGAGCTTGAAGTCTTGAAGGCAAAACGCTATTGCACAGCTTGCATTTTTGCGCTCGAAATCTAAGGATAATTCGTGACGTTAATGTTGCATTTCGATGGACTGATCGGAGCCAGGTAAATCGTTTTAGAATTCAACTTGCTTTACGTTGAAAAAGTTGCCGACGAGTTTCTCTTTCGAATTGTATTCTACGCTTTGCGAATGCATCGCAGAATTTTTTGTTTCTTCGTAGAGATGTAATCGGACTGTACGTAGAAAACGATATTTATTTTACAGCAAGTGTTTACGGATTAAAGGCCCGCTATCGAGTCGCAGTCATGAGATAATAAACGACAAATTTACGGATCCCAGCGACTCGACGCCGACCTCGTTTAAAATTAAACCGAACCTGGTCACGAGAGGAAAGAACTGTCTTACGTGGAAATGAGAACCGATCCATTAAACGAGACGCTCGGAATCACACGACAAGGTTCGCACCGAGAATTCGTCACCGAGGTTATTGTCGCCCTCGAAATGTGTCAATGACACGACGTCGCACATGATTATCACCGAGGCATGATTATTATTCCAGATGAACCCGCGTGCGTGCTATTGACATCGGTAACCTTCACCGGTTCGCCGAGTCCTTTTATGAATTTTCATTCTTCGTTGATTGTATTCGAAAAGCAAGCTTTGTAACGTTCCCCGTTAGTAATACCTTTAAGAAACCCACTCGACCGGCCAACACAATAACGGCAGACAGCTTGTCGTTTCCAGAATTTATATTGGAGTCGCGCGCACGGGTGAAAACATGTCGAAACATCGCGCTTCGTGCATAAATCGAATTCTATCCTACGTTTCCTAGTTGCAGACCGTGTTTCAAGTTCTCTTCCGGGCACTAAAGGCGTTGATCGCGGAGAGGAAGTTTACAAACACGAACCAAACGTTTACCTGTTCTCCCATCGATGCTATTTTTAAGAGAATTCGGAGAAACGTAGAATTTACGCGTCGGCTGTTCGCGAGGAACGGTCAATCATCGTTGGAAAACACGCGCAACTAAAAGTTAATCAAACGTAACTTCCGTTTCGTGCGGCACTCGCGTTTCTCGGTAGTCCAAGTTTCCAGTCGTCACGTTACCTCACAGATCGTCTGAAGAGCACGATCGTTTTCAACGCCGAGTATCTATCGACTGTGTTACAACTAAAGAGAGAGAAATCCAACGTTATCGCGTCGGTGGAGCTGGAGCGTTGTTTTCTCACTTAAAGGTAACAAATTTCTTACTTTTCTGAAACTTGACGTTTCGAATGAAAATAAATTCTTTATAACGTTATACGCTTCTCTCGGCGATGCGATAACTTCCTTGTAGATCAATAAAAATCCACATTTCTCCAAGCGAAATACACGTTAATTGTTTTTGTTTACGACTATAGTTTAAACTCTTTACTTCTTGGCCGACGTTTCGAGGAATACATTTTCGGTTCCGAAAGCCAATGCTAAACACATCCCACGTAACGTCTGTCACTCTCTAATTCGAGTTTGCAAAGAAAACCCATTCGAACATATTTTATTTGAAATAACGTGAAATACGAGACGTTGAACGATAAATTAAAATTCTTTTTTCCAAGCCAATCTATATGCGTTGGCGGTAACTTCTTTCTCTTCGTTACGCGTTACACCTGTCGATTAAATATCGTTTTGTACGCAAAAAAGTACCAATGTAAACTCTGTACAACGATTTATTTGCAACGGTTGTTTATCTTTTGCAGAATATTTCCCACGTTTGATTTGCGATGCATCCGACTCGTGATCGCCAATGACTTTGAGAGATCGATAAACAGTTGTCGAGAGTTTCGTCGAACGTGGCATAATCGATAGATTCTCGTGCATAAGAGAATTCAAAATATTGGCTTAACGCCAAAGACGAGGACGACAAGCCTCTCGGGCAAATGTAACGCAGCCAAAATAAGCACCAGCAAAAAGACGAGTCAACGCGGTCGCGTAAGGCTCGCTCTACTAGAGCTTCACCTCCTTCGCCCTGCGAGACGGAAGTACCTGTAACTCCGTAGCCTACGGATCCGGATAGTACACACCGACAAAATGAATCTAACGTGTCAGAGAGTAGATCGATTCGCGATGCAAACTTTGATCTAGAGATAAATTACGCGTATTCTAAACAAAGCTGGATAAGAGTCGGATAGAGAGACGTTTTCATTCATCTATTTGGACAGGAAACCGAGGGAAAGGAGCCGTTTCTAGGATAGCGGCAAGATGTTGCGCGGCGTAGAACTCGATCGATCGGTTTGACATCGTTTTGCCTCGATGGAGTCTGGATCGACGATGGCGAAGAATCGAGGGGCCAAGCTGACACCTGGAAACGAGATCACCGTCAGGAAGACGTCTTTATCCGGTGGAATCAAACACGACATCGGAGACAACGCGCTTCCATCGACTGTCCAACGAAATGCTCGCCAAGTAAGCGCTTCTCGTGTTTCTCGTCGTTTGCGTTTTTGTACTTTGCTTTACTCGACGCTGCTTGCCGTCTTCGCGAATTCGTACGTCGGCGTCGCTCGATTAATTTACCCATCGTTTATGAACCGTTTTACGTACAAATCGCTGTCGGTGGTTTCAGAATTCTTTCGACATGCTTGCACGTCCACGAACGGTTCGACACTTATAGTCTCGCAGTCTCGTAGCTATTGTTACACGGACCCATACGTCGGTCAACGTGTCGAAGAAAGCTCTTGGAATTCCGTGGTTCAACTACTCCTTTACCGTTATCGTCAATCGTCAAACGTTATGGACGATTGTTATTTCGATTAAATTTCGCCCAGCACTTGGCTCGAGGGTAAATAAACCGCGTACCGTTCGCATACAGAGTTGTAATAGCGCGCGTAGACGCGCAAACGAGCCACCTACCGCCCTGCCGAGCAACACGAGGACTTAACCGACATATAAATAGCGTTTAGTTGAAACGGATGCGGTAGAACTCGCGTGCACGTCTTGCGAGGCGATCCGGAAGACACGACTCGCTTTCCAAGGAACTTCTCCTACTCCGGCAACACCGACTCTCGTTTGCACCGCGATCCGCGATTCGCGACACCGACGCGTCAGTGATTTCCGAGAGTTTCCACGAGAATGTTCGAGCTCAACCCGCTTTCGCCCACTTTTCCCCGGAAGCTCGTTCGTTAACGAATTTTCCGTGTTTCTATTGTAAGTGTCCAAACGATTCTGTTTCGTTAGCGTCCCGGTCGTGTTTATTATTCCATCGAGCATCGCACATTCGAGCCTTCGGTATGGTTCAGGTTCACGACACGCATACGCGGGATCTGTAACGGGAACAATTATTATCTGGATGAAAATTTCGAATTACGTTCAGAATATGACGTGTAAACTGGCCTTCTTCGTAATTTATCGTTAAAATAAAATTTTCTCCATCTCTATCCAAGACGCGCGGATCAACATTTATCTACTCGTTTTTCGAAATAATGTATTTTCGGCGACGATATTCGTGGCTCGCGATCATTGACGAAAGCAGATCGTGATTAATCTTTGGATGATCTCTGCTGTGTTTGTTTTCTGAAATCATTCGAGATCCCTGTTGGGAGATTTAGTTTTTATATTTCATTTAGCCTCGTTCGATCGACGCTGTCTTTTCGCAACGTTACGAGAACGCAAATTCAAATGAGCGAAGCGTTTCATTGCCTATTGCGAAAGAAAGTAAACAACGGTAGTCCG